CATAGCGACCCCTCCTTGGGTTTCCGAGGCAGTATCACTACGGAAGTAGGATTGCCCAACCTTCCTTCCGAGGAGTGGCTGGTGGGTTAAACTATTTAGGTACATTAAAATCCATAGGTAAACTATTCTACTAACCATCTTCCAGTTTGCTTTGCCATCTGCTCTTCTAACTTCTGTAGCTCTGTATAAGCCGTTATTCGAGCATTGCACACCATGAGATTCTTAACTGCATGTAAAACCTGGTCTTTTTGAGTGCTCAAAGAAAGGAGTTTCCAAATTCCTTCTCGCATTCGAATTTCTAAGTCAATTTTTTCTTGAATGGTGTAGTCCTAAATAAAAGGAAAAGAAAAAAAAAAAACTTATTTTAAAAAGATAGCAAAAATCCAAATGTATAACATTTTTTTTTTTTCCTAGCAGAAGGAAAATGTACTAGATATCATTATAATTTTATAGCATATTGGGGAAACATATTGTATGGGACAGAATGCAAAAAACACCTATTTTTAATGCTCTTTACAAAACCTATTATTAAACAGAGAAAACAGAAAGAAATGTGAAAATGGTACATGCCCTTGCCATAACTATTATTGTTATTGGGTGCCACTGAGTTGATTTCAACTCATAGCAACCCCAGATGACAGAGTAGAACTGCCCCAAACCTTGTTTTAGGACATAATCTTTACAGAAGCAGATTGCTAGGTCTTTTTCCTTTGGAGACACTGGTGGTTCAAGTCCACCTTTTTGTTAGCAACTGAGAGCTTAACCATTGCACCAGCAAGGTTTCCTTACCGTACCTATTCAAAGTTGAATAATGTCCCCTGAAAATTTATGTCCACTGGCAACCTGTGAATGTAACCTTACTTGAAAATGTTGTTGTTGCTATGTGCCATTGAGTTGGACCTGACTCATAGCAGTCCTCCTTGGGTTCCGAGGCAGTATCACTATGGAAGTAGATTGCCTAACCTCCTTTCAGAGGAGTGGTTGGAGGGTTTGAACCGCCAGCCTTCTGATTAGCAGTCAAGTGCCTTAGGTACTACGCTACCAGAGCTCCTACTTGGAAATAGGTCTTTGCAAATGTGATTAAAAAGAAGTAATACTGGGGGGTACCGGCAAGATGGCGGACTAGGCAGAAGGATTGCACAGACCCTCTTCAACAAAGAAAAGGGAAACCAATTAACACAGACACAGAAGATAATCTT